TAATTGAATTTCTTTTCTTTAATATCATTTTCTTGCTGTTCATTACTATTAATATGGGTATTGCATTCTAATACCAGATAATTTGATTTATCTATGCCCTTTTTTGTATATCTCTCTTTTCTATCATTTCATTTCTATGGATATTAGCAAATATTGTATTTTCTATATTAAAAGGAAATATTAACTCTAAAATACTTATAATTTTATAGGAATAAACATGGAAAATTTATTCTCATGACAAATTCATTTAAACCTACAAATCTTATCTGTTTTAAAGGTGAAATTATTTTAAAGTATTGGATACATAATCAGAATGCAAAATAATTAGCATCTTTAAAAGACTGCTAGTTTAAAATAGGAATGAGCAATGTAAGAGATCAACATTATAAGATTGGAAACCGGATTTTACAAACGACCTACGTTGGTCATTTTACCAAAGGCACCTCCAGCCATCCAGTAATACTTATGCAGGTGAATCAGTTCAGGCTGTGGCCCTGGCATCAGTGCTAAATGGGATTGGTGAAAAATACAAAAAGTGGCCCAGAGCCGGTTTTACTGCTAGTTAATGAAGGCCTCAATGAAATGTCAGAATTTTAGAGTGAAAAATGTTTAAACTTGAGTTCAGTTCAAAAACATTATTGTATATATGGAGAAAATCAAAGTTAAGAGGGGACAAATCGTTTGTCTAAAGCCGCTACCCAGCTGATGACACAGACAGACACCCAACCCGGATCTCTTAGTGCTCAGCTATATTCTTTAAATTTCTCTAATGCACATAGAAAATGTTAACAAAATTTCTTTTCTCAAATGTAATGTTTCTATGTCACTAAATCTCTTTCCTGGATTAAAAATACCAATACAGGCTTTTAGATAACACTATCCATTTATAAGTTTCTGGCACAGTTCTTTGCAGAAATGGACACTAATACAGAAATTCATAGTATATATAATGTTATATCAGTGGTATGTTCATAAACCAGCAATCCAAACAAACAAACAAACAAAAATTTGTAAAACCCTAATTTGTAGGGCTTGCTTATTCCTACTCCCACCATGGCTGATTTCAATTTACTGAATCTGTAACAAATCATTCACAGAATTCCTGAATATTTAACAATTGGCTCTAGTGTACTATCAGAGGCAGCTAGCTACAGCACACCACTGATACTACATATGGGGAACTCTAGAAATAGTCAACTTCAACTCACTCTTTTTTTAAGAGGAAACTTAGACTCAAGGAGAGTCAATGACCTGCCTCAAGATCACACAGTGGATGAGCAGATTGTCCTACACAGGAGTCCGCCTCAATGAACTTCATATATTAAGTGAAACTTTATGCATTAGAGTCAGTGATCTTCATATTATTGTAGAGGGAAATACATCCCCCCAAAAAACAGCAGCACCAACAACACCAGAGAGCCTGCTAGATATGCATATTCTTGAGCTCCACCCCAGACCTAGTGTTTCATAATCTCCTGGGTCCAGAAATTTGTGTTTCAACAAGTGCTTTGAGTCGTAGAGAGGAAAGGAAAATAATCTTTCCTTAACATCAACCAATATTTTTTTATGAATGAGATTCATATGTGAATCAAAGTTAATAGCTACCCTTCTTTTTCACATCAGATTCCATTACATGAGCTACTTCATCTGAAGCTTCTAACGTAAAGTCTGCAATCTTTCACATTTTCAAAGACCTTACTTCTCAAAATGGTTTAGATTTTTCCAACAGCAACAACAAAAAAATAATTGATTTACCTTCCAATTCTCAACCTCAACAAAGTATAGATCAAAAGCTAACATACATTCAAATGTCTTAGCCCTTGTACATTTTATTTAAAAACAAAAAAAATAAAACAAAAAAAACTGCTTCTAAATAAATATTTTTCCAAGTGTCCCCACCCTAATCCACATATTACTTTCTCAACTGATTATATAGTTATGTATTTTTGTTTTGGTTTATCTACCACTTCCTATTGTTTTGATATTTGTCCCCAAATTTAAACCAGAACAAAAGCAAATAAATACTGTTCTGCTTTGTTTTTCTCTTCCAATATTTTAGAGGTTGGGAAATTTACAAAACAAATATCTTCTCAAACTCCTCATAAAGGCATTGTGAAAGAGAAAAAGGAAAATTGAGTACTAGTTTTCCCCAATTAAAAAATAACCAGCTAAGACACAATCAAATGACAAAATAGCTGTACTGATATTACTTTGAAAATCATCAGACAACAATCTAAAAATATGGGTCTATGATTCTTAATTAATTATCCATTATTAATTTTATTTGGAGGGTAAACTTAAATCTGTTTAATTTATTTTCACAGAAATACGAGAGTTAATAACATCGGTGTTGGTAGATAATAGAATAATGAAAACATTTTGGAAAGGCATTTAATCATTACCATACTTCCTAGAAAATATAAAACTACTTAGTGAGTGCAGTCCTTGGCCTTGGTGGAAAATAGCTTCACTGGACTTGGAAGTAGATGTTTTCAAAGAAACTCAAGAATTTGCCTTATAATTATCAAATGACCTGGACTCCACTGAACTGACATTTACCAAAAACTGGCCAGAAAATTTGTGTAACACAGGAGGTAACCACCCTGAAATCTACCACTTCTGAATTTCTGAGAGTCCCTCCATAAACACTTCTCAAAAAAAAAAAAAAGCAGCTTTTTCCCCTCCATGAGATTCATCACTGATGCCACCAGCCGCAAGGTTTGAGGGCCCAATTCAATGCTTGCTCATTATCTTTCTGTTCAATACATGCATATCAGTCAGAACTCTCATGTGTATCTGATCAAGAACCTTTACTTCTATAGCATAAAGTAAACAAATTTCATTCTCTAAAGTAAGCTGGACTTAGATCTCAAATTCGAGACACCAATGAATGGGTATATTGGGTACAAACCCAAACAAGGCCTGCGTGGACTGAGCTCACGTGGGCGAGCGTGCGGGTTAGAAACCGTGCAGAGAGCAGAAGGCACTTACGGTTGGCACAGCTTGATTAGGTCCTGGTCAGTGGTGCCTGGTGGAAGGCCTCGGATGTACAGGTTGGTTTTACTCAACTGTTCCCCGCTGCTGTTGTTGCTGCTGTTGTTGCTGCTGCTGTTTGTGCTGGGGCTGGGAGGAGCCATGGGGTGGGGAGCTGGTGCATAGGACTGCTGGAAACAGAAAAGGCTGTTACTGGAAAAACAAAGTCAGCACCTATTCTCAGGCCAGCATAGTACCTCGATAGCTATGCAAGCATCTCGGTCTCTCCAATCCACACATGAACACACATCCTTATATCATTATTCTTTTTACTTCCGAGAACATCATATGCTCCCCTTACCACAACCCTGGCCCTTCATTTGGATCAGTGTAAGATAGGCATAAATAGGGTAAAAAGAAATTCTTAGGTGCTCCTTACAGTAGCCTATGGCTTCTGAGTTTGTCCACTGTGATTTTCCTTAGAGCTATAAAGTATAATGTCATCTCCCTCTTTGACAAAAAAAAAAAAAAAAAAAGAATGAATGAACGAACGAAAGAAGAGGAAAGAAAAGAAAAGAAAGAAAAGAAAAGAAAAAAGAAAGATAAAAGGAAAAAAAAAAAACATGCAGTTCATTTTTGGCAGCAAATTCTGCCCCCGCTCACTTTTAACAGCTGAGCATCTCTGTTTTGCTTCTACTCCTTGTTCTCTCCTTTTCTCTAAAGCAATTTGCTCATCATTATTCTCCAGCACAATTCCTGATACACAGAAATAACTCTATCAATAGTGATTCTATGAATAAACAAATGAATGAATCTATCTTATCTCTTTCTCCCATCCCCAAGTCTGCTTCTCCATGGTGCATAACCTTTGTTAGAAAGACTGAGTCATCATTCTCTCCCTGAAATCAAGATTCTCTTTAAATTACTCTAATACAGGGTCTCAATCTAGGCACTGTTGACACCTTGGACAATAATTCTTTGTTGTGAGGGCTGTCCTGTTGACTGTATGATGGTGGCAGCATCCTATACCCACCAGATTCCAGTAGTACCCATTCCCCAGTTGTGACAACCAAAAGTGTTTTCACACACTACCAAATGCCCCCTCGGGGAAGAAATTTCTCCCAGTAGAGAAGCACTGCTCTAATCTGTCACACTATTTTCTGACAAAGTAGAAATGATAAAATGACCCTTAGTGACTTAGAATGTACAATGTGAAGTCTTTATAATTATACATGCCAAAATTAGTAGGCATATAACTCATTATGCTTTATTTTTCTCATATAGGCATATCTTCAAAAGTTCTAAAATCTACTGACTGAGTATGAGTCCCTGCTGCCTCTTATTGACTGTGTGACCTTTGGATGGTGTCTTAACCTCTCGGAGACTCAACATCCTCATTAATATGAGGAAGATGAAAAATGGAATTCTCCTATGTTACAGGGTTTTTACCAAAACTCAATGAGCTAATACAAACAAAATGGTTCCTGGAAATTAGTAAGCACACAATAAATGTTAGCAATAACAAAAATGTAATTATTATTAATAATAATAATAATAATAATAGTGTTTCATATATGTGTTGCTATTAGTCTATAAAACTCTACCAGATATTCTCAACCATAACCCAGAAAGTTTCCTAAAGGCAAAATGAACACAATCATCAGGATTCCAGCGGGAAAATTTGGGGCTGAGTTCTAACCTGAAAACTCATTAGCCATTTTGTCACGAGTGGGAAGTATGTACTTATCAAATAACAAATAGGTGTTTAATAAATACTTAGGCTACATCACGTACAATAAAAATAAACACAGCATTTAGACCATAGAGACAAGAGGCCAAGTTTTAGCAGAGGCCAAGTTTTAGCAGTATTCGGCCTTGTTTCTTGCTGTAATAGTCTGTTTTACATGTCTTTCCAGGGTTTCAGATTTGCCTGCCTATATTTCCAACTGACTACAAGACAATGCCTCTTGGATGCAGCTAGTTGAAGGCAACCCGTTATACCTGCTCTCTCATCTCCCAATTTTCCATACCAGCCACCTATCACTATTACTCCATTTCTTTCTGTGTTGCTGTCATTCTTTCAGTCTCCATTCTAGAAACCTTGGTGTTAGCTTCATCTGTTCCCTAATCCTATATCTCGAAATACAGCCAGCCACCAAAATCTCAGAGAGGTTTCTAGAATCATTCTTTCCTCTGAATTCCCACTGTTTCCCTTGGCCAGGGTCTGAACCACTTCCTGCATCAAGGACTTCAAAGCTTCCTATCTGGCCTCCTTTTCCTCATGCTTTACTCTTATTAGCTGGGGGTGGTGGAGTGTGGGAAGAATAAGAGACTAGTCAAATACAAACACAAACCAGTCAAGGGTGTAGGAGGCAGTTTGTTTAAGGAATGGGGAAGTGGCAGAGCAGAAATGACAGGAGCAAAACCTAACGCCTCCAACTCACTACTTTGAAGTAAACGGTTTTTCAACCATTTTTTTAGAATTACTTAATTTGTTACCAACATCTTTAATGTAGAATTTTAAAATGAATTATACAGGAGAATACTTTCCGTTCCTAATATTTGAATAAAATGGCATATATCCATTGCCTCTTGGAATTTAATATCTGCATAAAGTTTATTGGCTGGCATGAAAAACTATTCCCTCTTGACTTAAGAATTCTGTTTCGCTCCTGGGACAGCCCGTAACACTTAAGCTCTACCTCTTTACAAGCCCTGCACTTAGTAGGTGTTCCACACACCCTGGCTGAAGTAATGTCCTCTCTGTGTCTCACAATGGGACAGATGGAATTTATCTTTTAATTCTCATGTGTTTTATTCTCTTTAATTTCCCAGGCCTTTTTTTTTTTTTTTTACCACTTTCACCTTCCCTCCCTCTAAATTCTTTGAATTCCATTCTGTACTCAGGCTTCTTTTAAAATGAGGTTTTGTTTAAAGCAGTTGTTCTCACTGCCTAGTCTTTTAAATCACATGAGAGCCAGAAAAATGTCTCCAGCTTTATGTATCACAGATCAGATGGACCAGTTCAGACTGAGCCCTTGGCTGATCAAATAAGAAAGCATCAACCACAGGATGATCAATATGTGTTTACTTAATTCTTTTGTTTCCCCCCAGGGGTCTTTGGGAGCATTTCCATAACTGGAACACCATTTAGTAAATTGCATGGTGCCTAAAATAATAAATGTGCCCTCCAAAGGGCTCAATGTATTCACTGAGGGAAAAAAAATTAAAACAATCAAAAGCAAATCAAAGCTGGGATGAGTAGAGGGAACTTGTATGCATGCAAACAATGCATGTAATTTATAAATAGGATCGGAAGCACCAGACTGTTGTGGGGGAAAAGATGTGTTTCAAAAGCCCTTTGAAAAAAATACACAATCAAAAGTAGTTTTCTATGTCCTATTCTTGGTTCGTAAGTTTTAGAAATTCTGCTGAAGTGAGGCAGATTTTCTCAGTGTTATTGAACCAATTAACCCACAGATTTTAAGACTCAAGGCCAACACTCCTGCTAATCTTTAACATTTCATGTATCTATTGATGATAAACTGAATGATTCAGGTATCAGTTTGTATCGTAAATCATTCTTTGGTTTTAAAAATTATAAATTCCTTCTTCTACACCCATTTTCAAAATACACATCCTTTAATCAACAGAACATTAGCAGAAGGTTCCCGGAATGTCTGACAAATGCACAAGCTTAAATGAATTAATTTGTGAAAGCAAAAGAGATTTTATATGCTCTTGCTGCCAAAGACAAATGACCAAATTACAGCATCTCAGGAAAAAAAGAAAAAAAAAGAAAAAAGGAGTATCAATAATCTTTAGGGGTTAAGGGGTCACAGCAGCCACTTTCTTGATTAAAAATGGTTAAAAGTGTCTGATTCCTTTGTCAACTCTGTCTTTAGATGAATTTGGAATTTTATTATTGACTAGCTTGCAAATCATGCTGTGGCACTGAGAAAGAAATTTTAAAATATTAGTAAAAATATATATTTTTTCCTGCAGATAAAATTGACTTTGCAATATTGTTCAAAGTCACACTTTTTAAATCCTGTTAGTAGTGAGTAGTGAGTAGTGAGGATTAATGGTCTGAAACTACTGAACGCACATGTAACCGGGCAAGGAGTCGCTGTGAATTTGCAGTGTCAGTTGGTTAGAACCAGTAGAAATGGCAAATTTTCAGAAGAGGAGCTTGGGATGGCACTCTGATCAAAGGAAGGAAAATAGAGGTCCTCTCTTGAAGCTGCATATGTTTGGCAAGTACACAGATTTTCCTTAGATGTTTATTCATGGTGGCATTATGGGAGGGTCAGGTAGGGTTTGGAGGATGGGGCTATGCTCTCTAAACCACACGTAGGGGCTGCTAAGTCAGTGAGTCAGTACCACTATCCTCTTTATAAAACTGAGTAAAATAACTTGGCATCAATTTTGGGAGATGTTATTCTTAAGATAACGATACTAATAATTATAGGGAACGTTTATTGTGTCCTTGCTAAGCACTTTATACATTATCTTCTTAACAGCTTAATGAGGCAAATTATATCATTCTCAGTTTACAAATGAGATCTGAGGCACCAAAAGGGCTAATGACCCTCTCAAGGTCACAAGGCTGGAGCCCCAATTTGAATAAAGGGCGTCTGACTCCAGAAACTTGCAGTCCCCCACAACACAACAGAACTTCACCTCTTAATGATACCGACACCAATTAACACAATCAGCTTTCTTGCCCTGAATCCTGGAATATGACGCTCTGGGAGCAGCTAAGGTGTATATATGTATAAGGAGGAAGAAGAGAGTAATGATGATGATAAACAGCATATGGTCAAAATAAAGGTTAACAAACTCTTTCTATCAGCATTTAAATAAAGTCAATCTTAAAATTTAATTACGGAAGGAAAGTGACCATCAGAAGCAAACACACTATGAGTTTTTCAAATAATGTCAGACCAGTGGGTTCATTTGTCAAGATTCATGCTTTGTTATTTAATAACAGGAAAATGAACTGGCTTGTAGATCATCTTAAACAGCTGATTCATTTAGTGTGCTTTGTTAATATGCTTCATTTTTCAAGTTTGAAAAGTGAATCAACCAGGTCCTCCTACAGTCTTGTAAAATGCGTGTTTGGTTTGTGTGTGTAGGTTTGGAGGGAGGTTCATTGTCCTTTCTTACCCTACATAAATTGGATAGGGAT